GTGCAACACTTGTGCAAAACTTCGTCCTATCCAGAAGGAACCTCTGCTCCCTTCCTCGTTACCAGACCGACCTTGGTCTCGATTGGCCATGGATCTATCCCAACCTGTACTCACAATGTAATGCACACGCACAGGTTTATGACCTGTCACCATGACGAGCCCGACAAGAGGCTGGTATGACTCTTTTTTTTTCAGCAAGTCCTGCAAGTGACAGCACAGGACAAATATTTATTTTCATTCCTTTTACCCTGTACGTAGATACTGAGACTAGGTGCCAGGTTACCGTGTACGTAGATACTGAGACTAGGTGCCCAGTTACTGTGTACGTAGACACTCCGTATTTTTAAATTTACTGTTTTCAAACATCAACAACTCAATAACTAGATCTATTGATTTGTGGCAAAAATGAAGACCGTATTGGTGTTTAGCATTCAAAATACCAATAGAAAAGAAGTAGATCTATGTAAAACGTGAACATGAGACGGGTGCATAAGTAAAAAAAACAAACGATGATTGATATGCCTACTACTAGATCTAGATCTATATTCTAGACTAGATCTCGAGAGATTCTAGATCTACGCCTACGCACTTCAGACTGTACCGGTAAGATTGAAGAATACCGGACCAGCGGATTGGGATTTTAAAGGCCTACTTTTGGCTATGTCTCAACCTTAGGAATTCATGATTTTCCCCAGTTTTTAATGTCTCTCTCAATTAAGAATCTCGGACCGGTAGGTGTAGCCTATTCATTATGTTAAAATAATAAAAGTTTGTCAGGGGATGAACCCCCCCTCCCCCTCGGCCTCGGCCTCCCATTCATTCTCGCGCAGTAATACGACGAGTGGTCCGGTATTCTTCTATCTTCCCGACTCTACCCTATTGGACCCATCTCGCAAAAAAGGCATAAATTTGTGATTTTCTGAAGTTTTTTGGTTTGATGTAAACGAATTTGACCATTAAAATCACTGCAAATCAACCTAATTCTGAAAAAAATAACCCCTGTACTTTACTCTGAGACTGTAGTCTACATAGACTTGTTGGGGTTCTCTGGAAATTACGGGGCTCTTTGAAATTGCTCAGGACAAAAGTGGCCATGTAGGCTAGATTCTAAGTGAACCCTACCATATTAGCCAGTAGGCCTAATATTTTTCTGCCTTTTTTGTATTTAAAATTTATTTTGGCCGGATTGAACTTTGGTGGACCCACCGTGTTTACAACACATGTGTATTAATACGCACTAGCCGTAACAGTGGGGGGTTCCAGGGGGCCCCTGGCAAAAATAATAATAAAAAAAAACCTCACACAATCTTCACATTTACCTGGCAAATTATCAGTTTCAAAATGGCTGCCAATGGAACGGGAAGGCAATTTATTCCAGCATGACTTCCGTTCCGACTACTGACCCTTCTTCCTAAATATTTCCAGCATTTACAAACATTTGTCCGATTATAATGATAATCATAACAGTCGAGACGTGAGCTTTAATATCCAGTTACTAGATCGATCTAAATTGGCCCTCCCTGCATCATTAGTATGAACAGAACGACTAAGTTGAGTTGAACTTGCCAGGAGCAAAGTTTATTATGTCGACCAATGAGACTGCGTGTAGCGATCATGCACTCTCGGCTTTCTAGAGGGGTTGAGAAGAGGCTACAGCTGTAGCTTTGTGCGATGTGATAAAAAAAAAAAAATTATTACAGAAAAACTATAACACACAACAAAATCAAACTAAACATGTGGAAAGACAAATGGTGGTGGAAGTAATGATGATGCTGTGGTGGTTGTGGAAAGACCCTGAGTTGTCGGTTACCGTGTACTTAGACACTGCCAGTGGGTGTGGAATAATGTACATTACATAACACTTCTGTTATACTGTTAGGTAACGTATCGGGATTTAGACAGTACCTTTCTTCTACTCAGTAGTCACTTTTCGGTTACAGTGTACTAGAGGACAAAAAATAAAACAAAGCCTTTTCAGACGTGCGTTTTTTCATTCTCTCTATATCTGGTTGTATCCATAAACCGAACAATATTACATGGTGGCAGCAGTAGAAAACGGTATTTAAGTGTCATTTCTTTACTTTTTGAATCATGGCTGAACACGACACGAACGAATGTTAATGTTCATCAGGCCTGTGAATCAACAGTTATCGCCGCGTGTCTCTACCCCTGCCAAAGCCCTTTGATGGGAAGGCAGAATCGTGGCCTTGTTGGAGACTACGTTTCAACAGGTTTCGTTCATGCACGGGTCTACAGAACAAGTCACCGTGAGATCATGTCAGTACTCTACTGCACACTATGGGGGAGGTAGCCGACGACATCCTCACGACTTTGGCAGTTGAGGAAAGCACCGCTACATACACAGAAGTGATAGAGGCGTTTGACACTCACTTTGATGCATGCAAGAATATCATTTTCGCTCGTGCAGAATTTAAAAAATGCACTCAGTTACCAAGAGAGAGTGTCGATATATTCATCCAAGACTTGCACAGGCTCGCAGATGACTGTGGCTATGGAGCCCTCAAAGATGAGCTCATAAGAGACAGAATAGTTGTTGGAGTAAGGGATGTTGACCTATCCAAACAGCTCCAATTGAAGCTCAAACTCACCCTCAGTGAGGCTAAGCTGACAAGCTGAAGCTCGTAATGAAAGCCAGACACTCGTACGACCTCGAGTTGAGCTAGTCACAACAAAACTACACAACATGCGTAGTGCGTCGAGTGCTTCAAGGCCTCCGCACAAACCACACACTCCACACACAGGTTCCAAGAGACCTTGTAGATACTGTGGTTGCCTCCCACGCCACAAACGAGACGCCTGCCCTGCCAAGTCTGCAGTCTGTGGTTCCTGTGGCAAGAGAGGCCACTATAAAGCAGTTTGCCGTAGTCACCCTAAAGTTCAGGAAGTAGCAATCAACTCCTACCACGTAGCTGAGGCCCCAGACTTTTTAGGTTCCATCACCGTGAACAAAGTCGAAAGCCCAGATGAGTGGTCTGCTATCATCAAGTTGAATTCTCGTGCTCCGACAAATCTGCCATCAGATGCTGAATCACTCTTCGTTGGCGAAGTGGCAGACTTCGCACAACAGGCTATTGACAGCCTCCCTGCTTCACCACAGAGAATTCAAAATATCATCTCACAGCAGAAGACCGACCCAGAAACGTTGGATGTCCGGAAATACTGTACCAGAGACTGGCCAGCATACATGCCTGAAAATCCACTTCTGAAACAGTATTGAACTAATTGTCATCATTTCAGCTTTGTGGATGATATCCTTTTGTTTGACGACCGACTTGTCATTCCACGGGATTTGAGAATGGACATTCTGAATCGACTCCACAAAAGCCATCTTGGCATCACGAAGTGCCGAGCTCTAGCTCAAACTTGAGTCTGGTGGCCCAACATCACCCGTCAGATCGAGGACATGGTGAAGAAGTGCAACACTTGTGCAAAACTTCGTCCTATCCAGAAGGAACCTCTGCTCCCTTCCTCGTTACCAGACCGACCTTGGTCTCGATTGGCCATGGATCTGTTTGACCTGAAAGGTCAGACCTACATTGTCATGGTCGACTATTACTCTCATTGGGTAGAGCTACGCTTACTCGAAAAGCTCAACAGCGTATTCGTTATCAATAAACTCTAGTCCATCTTTGCCACTCATGGCATCCCAGAGACAGTCATGTCCGACAATGGCCCTCAGTTTTCAAGCTCCAGTTTCCAAACTTTTGCGAAAGAGTTTGGTTTCATTCACATCACCAGCTCTCCGAGATATCCTCAGAGCAATGGTGAGGCAGAAAGAGCAGTGCAAACAGTGAAGCTTCTCCTCAAGAAAGCCAACGATCCGTACACTGCCCTCCTGCTACACAGGGCTACTCCCTTACAAAACGGGTATGCCCCAAGTGACCACTGGAAAAGGGAGCACCGTCCGCCGCAACAGAAGTCATCTCGTGGCTACCCCAGAGCCCACTACATGTACAGCACAAGAGCCCGGAGACAACACACTGTTTTCGACACGGCGACCTGACACCCCAAGCCCTGCTCGGGAGTAAGCGCAAACGCCGGCGGCCCCAGCGCAGACATCACTATATTTAGCTCTTTGCTCTAATTTCAAATCTAAGTCTCAAGAACTCTTTAATTAAGTGTTGTAAACAAGTGAAACTTATAGAGATCTATTAAAATAGATGATTATGCACTGGGACAATAACTTTGGGGGGGAGATGTAGAATAATGTACATTACATAACACTTCTGTTATACTGTTAGGTAACGTATCAGGATTTAGAAAGTATCTTTCTTCTACTCAGTAGTCACTTTTCGGTTACAGTGTACTAGAGGACAAAAAGTAAAACAAAGCCTTTTCAGACGTGTGTTTTTTCACTCTCTATTTCTGTTTGTACCTACAAACCGAACTATATTAGTGGGTAGATCTAATGAGAGTGCAGTCTTTTGACTTTTGACGCAATTACACTGTCATAGTTGGCAATTCTAGTTCTAATTCTGGTTTTACGTAAATCCCCCGTCGACAGTTATATTATGTAACCTCCTTACACTCACATACCTCACTTAGAAACTGAGTCCAAATAAATAAAACATTTTTTTCGGACCCGAGTCCGAATAGATCGAACCCATATTCTGACTCGAGTCCGAATAGAGATAAAAATTATATTTGGACTCGAGTCCGAATAGAGCTGGCCATTTTAGGGACCTGAACATGATTTTGTCATTAAAAAAGCATCACAAATGGTTAGTTTAGATGTTACTACGGCACATCATTTCAGGGAGGGGGGGGGGGGGAGAGACCCCCCCCCTGCCCCTGCTAAACCCGCCCCTACTACAAAGCTAGAAGGCTACGCAATTGCTCGTCAGGGTGTGACCCCCTGAAACCCCCCTAATGACTACAAAAGCATGCCAAGTTTCACACAGTTTGGTTGCTGAGTATCTACTACTTTGAATAGGTCATTGAACAGTATCTCTGTTATTTGTATTGTCAAGTAGTATGTTTAAAAAGTCATATTTGTATTTTGTCAGAGATTCCAGTCCAGTTCAGCTGGTGGCAGCCATGTCGAAGCAGAAATGCCTACACAGTTTGAAGTGTCATATGAGGACTTCAAGCACGTTGAGCCTCTGCTCCCGTCATCTGTTGTACCCCCAGTACCAGAGCATGAGATGTACCCAACATCCTCTGGATGGTTCCCTCCTAATGGTGAGAATCTATTGCAGATTTGGATGCTGATTTAGACAGTTGCTAGGTGGAGAGACTGAATTTTCAAAGTTGCAATATGATTTTTTCATCCGTTCCATGTGAAAGACATGTGACTCGTAAAATTACATGGATAACCCGTAAAAACAATTTATCCATCATTGCTCAATTTTTTTTCCAGTAATAATTTTTTCTTCTCATCTTTATCTTCTTTTTTTTTTCACGAATATCTTAGTCTCTGAATGTTGACAAGACATAACTAGAGATGCATGGGTAATAACTATAATGCATTTTTAAAGCAGAGCTCTGTGCGCTTTACATCTACAGTATAACATGGATAGGTCGAACACAGAAGACTCGATATTACGCATCTGTCAAACTGTGTCTGCGGTCCCGGTTTTTTTTTCTTCTTTATCCTTGTACAACTCTTTAATTTTTCTTCTGTGTGTGTGTTCAGATGAGCTGAGAAGCCAGCAGAAGTACACAGTGCTACGTACCAAGAACCACATGCTGCCTGTGTATGCCAAGGTCCAGCACAGGGAACGCAGGACGCAACATCTGGTCACCATCAAGAGAATCGAGGGAGATATATGGGTAGGTTTGTCCGTGCAGTCAGAGATTTCTTTCCCCTGATTTGTTTTGATCCTTGACCTTGTAGTTTTTATCAAGCTGTTATGTTTCATTTTAAAAATCAAGCTGGTGCTTTGATGTATTCTTGTGGGAAGACTTAATACCGGTATCAAAAAGTTCGCCTAGGATAGGGAAAAGTGGAAAGTGATTTCATAGCATATACCCTGATGCACGGTGAGAAAGACAATGATGATGATGATGTTTCACTTTTAAAATCAAGCTGGTGCTTTGGTGTTTTCTGGTCTTCCTACTCTTTTTTTAGGGTCTACACGCAAAATATTTTTTTAATGGCTAAAGCTGTGAAAGAGGAAGTAGTTTATATACTTATTTAACATCTGAGTCGAAACAAATCTACTCAGACTCAGATTCACCAGACATTGCATTAGCAGTAATATTTCATGCATTCCGTGATTTGACCGGAAGCTGGGACCGTCCTCTGGGGGACTGGGTGAGTTTCTTTGCAAGCTCCCATCCTCCACTCGAGGTTATAGAGGTTTTTTTAAAGTCAGAGTACTGCACTGTGGCTGCCAGCTATAAGATGTTTCTATTGTCTGTACCCCGATATTGCATATTATATACTGCTGGTGTTACCTTTTCTTAATAAGTTTGTGAATGCACTGTCCCTGCCATTGAACACAAATTTCTCCACAAGGTCAGGAAAAGTTGGGGGGTTTTTTGTGGGGGGTTTTTCTTACCTTGTCTGCTTTGTGGCAAAATGTGGCTGGGACCTTTCAGTCTTGTCAAGACAACAAGATGTGGTCAAAGAATATTTTTGGGTGGTTGGCGGGTGCTCTGGTGTGGTTTGCTTCCTCTTTCTTATCAAACATCTATCGTTTTTATCTCCCCATCTACTTTTTTTGTGTTTGTTACTCTTTTGTAACACTTCTAATCTTCGGCACTTATATGACCTCATTGTGTTTCAAGTGCCGTAAAACTGTTACTAAAACATCGAGAGTACAGTAGGTGCCGCATTCAACGAGGTCACATTCAACAAGAAGTCGGCTCTAATAAGGCAATCCTAAACCCCCGATTCTTTCCTCTATATCTCTTTGTAAATGTACGTCGGCTCCCACGAGGTTGCAAACAGACAGAAGTCACTTTCAACGAGGTTGCGATAACCAAATAAAAGCTATTAGCGGCCCCAAAAGCGAAAATTTTTTCTCCTTTCTCTCCATCTCACGCAAAGCACAAGTCCCATTATCGATTCCTAACACATTGTATTGCTAGATCTAGTGTGCCTCCTGATATGGGCCCCAAAGCCAACAGGATGGGCGAGGGTTAGCCTATGGTAGGGATGAGAGGGGGTGGGTGGGAACGCGATGCGGGCTGTGTGAAACTGGATGAACTCTGGATGGGTAGGTCTAGATTGAAACCTTTTTTTTCAAATTTCTTTTCTTCCCCTGATCAGAAAATCCAAGCTCCTGCCTTTACTTTATGTAGATCTAGGCCTAGATGTGAGAGGGTATGTTTCCGCACTAGAAGTGTTCCGGAAAAAAAATAATTTTAATGCCGAAATGACAGTCAGAACACAGCTCAAACATGCGCACACTGATGCTGTTTGAGATTTTCGTCATCAGGGGGAACAACTGTTTTAATTAATGGTATTGGTACATCGTGTAATATAATATTATAACTTGTCTCCTTTCTTTACTTTAGCCTTAGTCACGTTCAACGAGAGGTCGGATCCAAGGAGGACAACAAGCCGGGCCCGGCAACCTCGTTGAATGCGACACCCACTGTATTTGATTCTCTCAGCATGCAGCTAATAGCATCATTTTGTCAATTCCTCCACTGGTCAAGTTTTTTTTTTAAAAGAAAGACTATTCTTTTTCTCAGACAGCATGAGGTACCATCTCTTCGTGTGTTTTAATGTTATGTAGTCTTGGATGACGGTTGGGGCACCAAGGATGATCGGGCAACCACTTTTCTCCGTCCCTCTGTTTTCAGGCCTTCAAAGGGCTTCACCCAACTTTAAACCTGTCTATACCCCCCAGGGCAGTTCTACTGACTGAAGTGTGTTTAGGCCATTCCCAAAGGGGGGATATTAACATGTTCTTTTGCACAGTAGAATTGCAAATGGGCTGATTCACTAATGTTATGCTCATAACTGTGCCTGAACTGCAACAGGGAACTGCTGCTTTTTCTTTCCTAATCCTTACTATCATCATTTTCCTCTACTTCTTTTGTATGTTTGTCACACTCTTGTGACCCGCTATATCCGGGGTGCCTTGATAGTCGAAGCAGACTTTGTGCTGTTGAAGCTAGAGAGGTGAGCAGAGTAAGCCTGATTCCCTGTATGGATTTCTCTATTGACATCCACCCCTTGGGGCTCATATGACCTTATGCAGTTGTGAGCGCTGTAAAAACTCTACTAAAACTACTTTTTTTTTTAAACCTGTCTATTCCGTGATGTTGTCTTACCCATCTCTTTTTCTGTCTGCCTTTCCATCTTCCGCTTTGTACAATTTTCTTTTTTCCCTGAACTTAGTCAAATGACTGTTATTTTGTCAATGTGCTTGTCTTTAATCATAATGTTCTATACTCTCCATCAGTCTTGACATGAACTGTTGTTAATTATATCCTTACAGGCACTCGAGGCAGAGTTGAGGGACTTCTTGGAAAAGGAAACAGGTGGAGAAATAATTCGAACCCAAGTGCATGAGGTGGCAAGGCTAATCCGTGTCAGAGGGCTCTATGCCCCTCTTATCGCTGACTTTTTACTGAAGAGAGGCATGTGATGATGCTTAGTTTTTTTATGATGTGTAGGAAGTGTTATTGATGGTCTGTAACTATTTGTGAGAAGTACAGTCAGGCATGGAGAACCCAAACATGAACATGTCAAGGATTGACAAATGTGTTCCACACAGTAATAATTCAGGTTAAAGAAATATCCGTTGGGGAATGGCGAATTCAACGAGCTATCTATTATTTCTTGTTTTCCGTGTTCGTGTTATCTGTTGCCGACTGTACTTTATTTAGTATTGTGCATTAAAACTTGTGTTCTTGAATGGGACGTACATGACCTGTGTATCTGGGAGAGAATGTGTTGAGAGTTGTTCTAGATCCTGTTAGTTAAAGTCAAAAGTTTGACTGTGTGATGAAGTATAATTTGCTTGTTTCGGGGGTATGAACTTGCTTTTCTAAGGTGATAACTGATTAAACATTTTTTTTTTCCAATGAGGTTTTTTCTTCTCTTTTTTTTAAAAGCTGCAGTCAGAGTGTTTCCACTGTGTCAAAAGTGGGTTCATCTTTGTGGTTTTTGGACCTCATTGATTCTGTTCAATGTGATAGTGAAGTCACGACGAGTAGTTGGAATATATTATGTATTTGGACATTGATTTATCTAGAACCATTTCTTTTGCTTTTGCTTCCTCTTCTGTATCTAGCTCAGGCCAGATTGGCCTTGACAGGCACAGTGGAGGCAGCATGCCTCTTAAATGGTCCAAATTGGGTTGATGAGGACAAAAACTTTAGATTTCAATCAGATCATCACCCCTCACCTTTCTTCACACTGTTGAGGATTAAGTTTAATAATAATTACAATAACAATAGATAGCATTTGTATAGCACAAATTCCTGCTCAACAGCAAGCTCTGTGCGCTTTACCCCAGTAGGCGGGATATCATTCTGAAACAATCTCAACTTCCTGGGAAGCATACAGTGCATGTTGCCATTTTTATAGGCACTAATACACTAATGTACTGACAAGATCTTTCACTGTCTATGGTTGAGTACCCACTCTCACCTGGGTGAAGTGAGAAAAATTCGGGTTACATGTTTTTCCCAAGCACACAACATCATGCTTGAGGCTCAAATCCGCAACCTCACCACTACGAGTTTAGTAACGTAACCACTTGACCACTGACGCCATGGTAGTGGGAAGGGGATCCTCTTGCAGCTGTTTCTAAGTGGGTTCAGTTTTCTCTCTGTTTTGTCAGAGCCTTCTCTATAGAGTTGTTCACCATGGGTCACCCTACAAGGAGTCAAACTCCTGTCAACATAACTTACAAGTTTTCATGGTTTTTGTTTTTTAAGGGTTGGGGGATGAGAAGACAAGCAAAACACAGAGAAGTGAAAAGACTTTTTTTGCTGCCGTCTAATTTTAGAAGAAGATGGTGGCTTTTCGTGCTGTGTAATTGTTTTGAGAAAATTTCTTGTCACAATGTTCCTTGGAAATAATTATAGTTAGAGCTGCAGTCATGCGCCTCTCATACGGCCCTACCAACCAATCGGAAAAGGTGGCCTGCTCAATCTGGCAACATCTGCACACCCTCTGTCAACG